GATTATTACACCACCATTAGATGTCCACAAGTTAAAAGCGATAACTTTACTGTTTTAAAAAACGTCATACCGAAATGTAGAAAAATGATTAAACTTAATTTAGTTTCGATGTTATTTAACATCTTATTGCAATAAAAAGTCAATCAGCTAGGTTAAAAAACAACTTACAATTGAGACAAATTCCTCCGCCGATGACGGCGCAATGCATTCTGGGACACTGTGGGCTACGTAGTGTGCTTCAATACAGCCGACAAAAACTTGAAAACGTCGGCCGCATTTGTCGACTGCATTCGTAGGCATCGACGAATTGGGACAGCCTACGGCACGGGAGAGTGACGTCAGTGGCCGACAAAATGCGTTCCACGTCGCCTGCAACCCATGAATTGAGACACAGCCTCTGTATGGCTTACCCATCTGTCTCGTTCTCCGTGTCTCCCGTGGCTCCTTGTGTTTTTGTTTATTTTGCTGCCCCATCAGCTTATGTTGTGTTAAATAAATATTTTTATTTGAACTCTTTTCCTCTGTCCAGATTTGGGTTCATTCTGCACCTTCACCTGACACTACTAGTTCATGCACAAATGACAAATAAAGTTCTTTAAATCTTTCTTGATGAAACTTATAAAAGAATAAATACTGAGGATTGTGAAGAACTTTGCAGATAAAAGATCAAAAGACTGGGTGAACATAGATGTGATGTTGGTGAAGAATATAATCGGTTGTGTTATATAGGTACAGTAAATGGCTCTATATGTAATTTATCACTTTCAACTGGAATATTTCCAGATGACGTGAAAATAGCTAAGGTAATTCCTGTCTATAAAAATGGTGATGTGTGTTTAACAACTACAGACCAATATCCTTGTTGCCACAGTTTTCAAAAATTTTATAAAATTGTTTTGTGACCAGACTGGATGTCAGATTTGATGTCAATCTATCAATAGATGAAATGTTTTAAGTAGCAGTCAGTCTGGGTTTAGAGCTAATAATTCAACATCAATGGCTCTCATGGAATTGATAGAACAAATAACAACCGCTGTTGATCAAAAACAGTACTGTGCTAGTATTTGTTGATTTAAAAAAGCATGTGACACTACTGACTACAGTATTCTTCTTGAAAAGCTGAATCATGTTCGTTAGGATCTGTGTCTGTGTGCTCTTTCTCTTGTCTTGTGCTATGCCTCCCTCTGGTGTTTGTCTTGTGCTCTTCATGCCCAGCTCATTCCTCAGTCTTTCTGATTCATTCTTGACCTTCTCACACCTGTCTTCACTTCTAATCATCTCAGATGTCTCCACTTCTCACTCAGCCCTGTCACTATGTTATTGTCTCACTTTCTCCACAGCCTCGTCTGTTCATTGCTTGGTTTACCTCTTGTTCCTGTCTTTAGTGTTCATGCCAAGTGCTCCCTCTCTTTATCTTTTTGCCACCATGTTGGCCTTTTTCTTTAATAAAACTTTATTATTGTTTGAGCCTGCCTGCTTTTGAGTCCACTTCTACATCCTTAACCTTGTCAATGGTGTAACCCCTAATTTACACTACATGCGTTCCGGCTCCACTCCAGTCTGACCTCCGCAGTAAATAAGCACCCATTATAATCAATGAGAGTGTTTACACTAGCTACGCACGGCGGCGGTGAGCGGATGGCGATCTGTCAAAATTAGATTCGATCCTATTTTTGCCGGATGCCAGAGCCGCGCCGGAGTCAATTTTTAAAGATTACGTCACATCAACAGGAAAAGGAACAAGCACAACATCCGTATTTTCAAAATAAGACACTATTTGGCAGAACAATTTGTCAGAATAACGTCAAAATTGCAGCTATATTAATAAATATACGGATATATTTCTACACAAATGCTGTCAGAACGTATCGTTCTGTTTGGGAAGCAGATGGAAACATGTAGCATGAAGCATATGTGTACACACACGATACACATGGATTTTATTTTGAAATCAGAAGTTTCAGAAAGACGAGAGCGAGACAGTTTCAACATAGATATCAAAAGCCTTCATATTCAGTGGTGCACATAAGCGGTGCGCAGGTATGTATGCGCTGTCAAAAAAGGAAAAAGCGCACCAGACGTAATGTCATAAAGCTCCCTTGCGTACCTAAGATTG